CTCCCCCTCCCTCCTCCAAGGGGCAGCTTGAGAGAGCGACAGCCGTGCGGGGTTGGCCGCTGCTGCCGAAGGAAGGAAAGGGGGTGGAGGGGGCTGAGAAAGGCCTCCACGGGTCCCCCTTCCCAGGCCCCACGAATGCATCCATTCTTTCTCTAGGAACAATCAACCACCCCAGGCAGAGATAATTTTGAAGTCTAGTGACTATTCTGTGGATTGCTATGGCTCCTTCCTCAATATAGATCTAAATTCTGATAAGACTGACAAGTTATGCAAACCTCATTAAAGGAAGCTGAACAAATTTTATTCAAAAGAGGTTCATCATAACCCTCCATAAAGAGAGTGGGTCATGTATAATCTCTGGAAAAGACAGTAATTAAAAATATTGTATGTTTATTGTATGATTTATTAGATCTGAGTCATTATCCCGTAGTCAAGCGTGAATCAAAGCAGAAGCAGTCACGGTTGTCAGTTTCCTGGACGGAGGGGAGCTGGAATGGAAGGGAATATCCTCCTTATCCAACTGCTTTATCACAGGCACGCACCAATATTTAGTGGCATTAGCCCTCAAAGGCCCTATGAGACAGTTCCGTTTTAACCCTTTGGCAAAGCCGGTTGGGTCGGCACTACTGTAACCGCTGGGAAAAGGCAATGCCTGAGGTTGGGGGCTTCCAAGGGACAGAATCCCCAGGCCCACTAATCTGGGAATAATCATCGACCCCGGGCAGACACGGCTCTGAGGTTTAGTGACTGTTCTGCTGATGGCTGTAGTTCCTTCCCAACCGCAGATCTACATTTTCGATCACACTGGCAAGGAGACTGCGGAGATATTACCTACGATTACCCATCCTTTTGCTGTGGGGCATCCTTTCAAGGGTCAAACAAATCCGATCACACAATCCCTCAGTCTTTTCCGCAAGGCTCAGTACGTCCAGGTCGCTGAATCTCTCTTCATGGAACTTTATTTCCACCCCCTTGATTATTCTTGCTGACTCTGCTCCAGTTTTTCTGAATGGTTCTTATACTCTGGTGCTTAGATCATAGCACCTCAGGTGGAGCCTGGTCAAAGCTGAATCCGGTGGAAATAAAAACTTCTCTCGTTGCAGACTAAAATTGCATTTGCTCCCGCAGCAGGTCTCCCCCTCCCACTTCCCGCATGGGTCCCTCCTCCGCTGGTGGCTGGGAGCGATGGGTGCTGGACTCCCTCCTGACGGCCTTCCTCCTCCTCCTCCTCCTCGCAGCCCATTTCCTGGTCCAGTGGAAGTCCGACTGCCACTTCTTCAACGGGACGCAACGGGTGCGCTACCTGGACAGGTACTTCTACGACCGGCAGGAGTTTGTCCGCTTCGACAGTGATGTCGGGAAGTTCATGGCCGTCACCGAGTTCGGGCAGAAGGATGCTGACTATTGGAACAGCCACCAGGAGGTGCAGATCAAGAAGGCCGAAGTGGACGGCTTCTGCCGATGCCACTACGGGGCTTTCACCTATCAGGCGGAGAAGACACGGCGTCTGATTGGGCGGAGAAGTGAGTCTGGGGGGGGGCTTCCGAGTGGGAAATGCTCCCACCCCCTTCATTCAATCCATTAACATTGTTTAAGTCCTAAAATTAACCTGTACATTTTGAAGATGTCACTAAAACTGCCAGTTTTTAGATTGAGAATTTCTGCTGATTTAAATCTGTTCCGTCCATTTTCTTGTTAAAAGTATTTTCCCATTCAGAAGAATTTTCTTGTAAAGAAAAGAAAAAAGCAGTGTCATGACTTTCAGTTTGAAAAAACTGCCTCCTTTTAGCTCTTTTGCAAAGGTTTTCAATGTTCCAAGATACAAATGTGCTTCCTGTGAAGGAAAAGCTATAAATGTATTATTTATCTGAGCGGCAACCAGACTAGAGCCCAGGTCTTCCTTGCAAATAACCAAAACTTTTAAAAATGGAATCATCTTAAATGTTATTAACGGTTAGTGAAGAAATTCACCAGTAAGAAAAACTACTAACAAACTACTTAGACAAGACATTAAACAGCCAATTATTGAAAAGAAAAATCAGCATTAAAAATAAGACCCAAACATGCCTTGCGGCCCCCCAGAAGCCGAGGCTGCCGGACGCAGCACCAGAGAC